GCTGCTCCGAGCCGGGGTAAGGCGGGCGGGGAGAGCCCGGGAGGCGCGGGGGGAGAGATGCTGCAGCTTTGCAAGCCTGGTTTCATTTTTAAAGGGCTTGGGTGACCATGCAGGCTTTCCCAGGGCCCAGGAGCCACTAAAGCAGCCCAGCAAAGGCTCGGATGCAAAAGTTATTTGGCGGCGGCTGTTACTAGCAGAGGGCCGGAGTCTCTTGGAGAGGGGTGTGTGAGTGTGCATTTGTAGCAGCATCTTAAAGGTGTAGCTTGTCTTTCTGGCTGCCTTTTCCTCACCAGGGTCTTTTTCCATCGCGTGTGTGAGTGAGTGGTGGGGATGGCTGTTGCAAGAATGCCTGGATGTGTTTGTGAAAAGAAATTAACCCTTCTCTCGCGCCATTCCCCCACCCCAATTTAACTGCCACCATCTAGAGCCACCCCTCTGCCTCCTATCCCCTTCCCCTCTCTCTGAAAACTGGGTGTTTGTGAGTTGCACAGTGAAACTCTGGGTTCCAGCCACGGCCAGAAACTTCTTTCCGTGCTCTGGAGGGCTGAGCTAATGGGGAGGGGTATGTGCCTGGACGGGCTTGGGGACAGTGTGGAGTGGAACCTCCAACTGGAGTGGCACACAGCTGGTGGAAGCAGAGGCCGCGCCGGAAGGCGGGAAGCGGACCTTGGGCTGAGGGGTCCGCCCGATCCGGAGTAAGTTGCCTGCCTGGGGCAGTGGAACAGCGGAGCTAGGGTCGCGCTGGCAGCATCGCTGGGGCAAAGATGCAACTAACTCTTAGGCGCTTTGCTAGGTGCCTTCTAATTAAGGGAGGCGGTGCAAATGAGGGGGCATCCTCGGTACTGGCCGGGCCTTTATTAAAGGCGTGATTATTAATTGCTCCCGCGGCTTGCACTCAACTTCGGAAAGACAAAAGCAGCCGCCGGATTGCCAGGCACGTCCCGATAGGATGCACGACGTTTGCAGCCGGGACCGTGTCCCTTGGCGGGGAGATGACCCCGCCCGCCTGCCCCGCGCCCCAGCCCCGAGCCCCGGCCCCAGCCGCCCAGCCCAGGCGTCCTTCTCGCGCCTCACGACCCGCGCTCAACTTTCCGGGGCTCCTCGGCCGCCGAGAGGGCGTGGAGGGTGCCGGGAGCCTGACGGGGCCCCCGTTCCGGGGCTGGGGGCACCGGCGCGCCGAAATGGGATGCTCGCTCTGGCGGCGGTGAGCCGGGCACCTCCTAGGACCCGGCCCGGGGCGGAGGGGCTGGAAGGTGACCCTAGCCCGGGGTGGGGGTTTCCCTCCTGACCTTTTTCCCTCCTGATCCCTGGCACCAGTCCCTGAAGACAGATTTCACCCCCCTCCGCTGTCCCCGCTGGGAAGGAAGACGGAACTTCGGGGTGGGCTGGGCCCTGGGAGAAGCCCCCAGGACCCCCTCTCCAGGGACGCCCCCTAGGGGCTCCGCGTCCTCCGAGGGAAGTTTCCCCCGAGGCGAGGGCGCAGCCGGCATCTCCGGGAGGAGCCAGCTTCCAGCCCAGCCAGCTCCGAGAGGCGCTAATTCAATAAGACAGAGAAATCTGAGTTCAGAAATCCTGGTAAAATCTAATTTTCGCGTTTTAATACCCTGGCTATCAGCCCCCCTCGGTTCCTGAGGACTCTTAAAAGAAAATAGAGCGCATTGATTCTATTTGTTTCTGGGAGCTGCAGTTTCTTAATAATATCAGGTGAAGATTTATTTTCCAAGGAGAAAATCATCCACCGGGATACCACCTCTTACTCTGAAATCTCCCCTCCCGGCTCCTCACTCCCTGCTTTCCGCCTAATTATTCCGGAGACTCTTGCATCTCTCCTCCTCCCCATTTTTTCTTTTTGGCAAAACCCGGCAGTAATATTCCCGTGCTGAGCTCACAATCCCCTTATGATGCCAGGAACGCCCCATTGATTGACTAGTTGCAAACACATTTATTACTCCCTGCCCCCCACCAGCAGATTTTGTTGTTGTTCGTTCCCCCCACCCCATTTTCCCGGGAATGCATGGCATTTAAGCCAACGGAACTGCAAAGCAATTAATAGGTTTGCGAGGCGTGCTGCCACGCCGCTCGGTCGCCCGGGCCTCCTGGCCTCCGGGTCTCGCTGCCTCCCGACGCCTGGCCGCGTCCAGCGCGGTCCAGGCCTGGAGCAGCCCGGGTCCTGCAGATGAAGGAAGCCCGCGGCTGGGCCCTCCCTGCCAGCCGCAGCCCGGCACCCTGGTGTCCTGCATCAGGAGCGCCCTACCTGTTAGTGAACAGTTGGGAGTCCGAGGCTGGAAGAATTAATTAGGGACATGCTGTTTTCTGGGCAACATGAAGCTCAGAGAGAGGCATCCAAACCTTTGCCGGCCGCGCTATTTTATTTTTACTACATTTTCTCAGGTTGTAAAAATAGTCTCCAGGCGAGTTCTTTCTGAGAGTTTTCTAGCGAGGAGCACAATTCGAGGCCGGGCAGGCTCTCTAACACGTTTCTCTTTAAACAGCCAGAGGTGAGATGTGAAAATGTGGTCCCCCTGGGCTCCTCATTCATCTCCATCAAGAGCCCTTCAGCCAGAGAGAGGGGCTGCCTTAATGCGGATTTATGATTCCCCCAGCCGGGAGTGTGGGGCACAGGCTGGCGACTTCTCCTGGGGAGGTGCTGAGCGGCCGGCCCTCTTTGGACGATGTCCACCCCTTCGGTTTGTCATTTCTGGCAGGAGTATGTTTGTGTCTGGGTGGAGGATGGAGTTTCATGGCAACATAGTTAACTCTTCAGGACCTTGTATGTACAATGGCTGAAGAGGCTGTCAGGTGAGAGTCAGGTGAAGTGAGCACCGATGCCGTGGCAGTTTGGGAATTCAGATGCAATAATCATCGACGTAATAACCAGAATTAATAATACAGGCGCTTTTGCTGTGACTCCTTGCAGTAACCTTTGCCCTATTGGCTAGTGTTTTGGGCCAGGATCCCACACTGGCTGGACTCAAACTCTCCTGATGATAAATCAAGCATCTGGGAACACACCACGTTACCAGTCGTCTTTTTCACAATGGAACATTCATCTTAGTTATATCTATTTGGGCTTTTAAATAATTACCAATGGCTTAAAGCAGGAAGGCAATAATCCTAATGGTGACCTGTTTATAAACATACCCTCTAAGGTGATTGCAAAATTTGGGCCTTGATCAGAAAATCTATTATGACAAAGCATTGTCAATTCTGTCAGTCTTCAACATCCCTAGTTTCTTGCAGTTAAAAATGACATTCACCGTATCAGAGTGCTGGAGAGAGGTTTATTGGCGCCTGATTCTTAGTTGCTGGCCCAGGGTGTGTACCTGCCCACACGGTCTCCTCTGCACCGAGAGTCAGAGTCTCATCTCTGCCTCCAACAGTCTTGACATTTTTGACTTGTCAGTCGTCATATTTTAAAGCAACCATTCAGTCTCGGCTCCCGGGGGTGTTTTTGGAAAGTCACTGACCCCACGCAGGGGCACTTCTGCTGACCCGAACGCCCTCGTGAATAAGAGGAAAGCACACCGCCTGTGTCATGAGGGACCCGATCTTCAAATGTGCAACTCCAATATTAATAAAAATAACCTGATTTCCTTGGGAGACCTTGCTAATGCAGCCTCATTTTTTTGTGCATTTTGTCGGAGAGCTTTTGTTCTTACACATCTTCATCCCCCCACTTCTCTATTTAATTTGATGCAGGTGTTGTTGCTAATGAGGTCTCTCTCCTCCCTTCTTACAATGAAAGACAAGCCAGACCCCGGGTACCTGGATGGGTTAGGAGCTCATGTCTCAGAAACTTTATAGTAAGTTGCAGATGGCTACCAGCCAAGGTCGGCTGGCCCCCATGAGTGCCTGTCCCCACCCAAGCCTAGTCAAATAAGCTTCTCCCCAGTTAATACCTCGGTAGCGTTTTTGTGTTTCAGTCCAGCCGTGCAATTGTTGTCGCTTTAAGCCCTTATGAAAAGAAATCTCTTTTATTGGTCTGAGATGCCAAGTCCAGCCCCATAGAGGGAACATGTTTGCAGCTAACAGGTACACCTCCTGATTTTATTTTATCTTTACAACACAGGCCGGAGGGTTGTTTTGCAGTTGCGTTGGCACATCACACACTAAGGGCGCTTTAAAGACCTGGATTGATTGGAAGGACCAAAATTAGAAGCAATCTGATCCGGCCTCATGCCAGATCCCTGCGGATTTTCTCCCTATCCCATTTCCATCCACTGTCACAATTTGAGAGTCTGCCTGATTTGATCGGATTCATCTCTGGGAGAGGTGTGATGCCAAGGTTAGGAGGACGCAAAGTTGTGGGCAACTTTGTGACCTGCCCATCAGCAGTCTGAGAAACGCTGGCTCCGAGTTTTCCATATCGGCCTTTTGGAAAAAACAAGGTCCTCGCTCTTTGCAACCTGGCAGCGCTCGAGGCCCTGGGACATCCGGCCTCCGTCGCCTGGTAGATGTGGCATTTCCATGCTGAGGCTGCGAGTCCCGCCTGACCGAGTCACCACCTCTCCAGGCCCTCTCCGGGCCGCGCCCCTGTGGACTGTGCCGCCATGCTGCACCTGCTGGCTCTTTTCCTGCACTGCCTCCCACTGGCCTCTGGGGACTACGACATCTGCAAGTCCTGGGTGACCACGGATGAAGGCCCCTCCTGGGAGTTCTATGCCTGCCAGCCCAAGGTGATGCGCCTGAAGGACTACGTCAAGGTGAAGGTGGAGCCCTCCGGCATCACATGCGGGGACCCCCCTGAGAGATTCTGCTCCCACGTAAGTCAGCCCACCGCTGTTCTGTTTGCTCAGGCCAGGTGGGAGGGGCTCTGGGAGCGGACCTTTGGGATGGGTGAGCAGAGAGGGAGGACCAGGATGCAAGGCTGACTTCCCTGCATTGAGGTTTGGGACCAGGCCTCTGTCCCACCTGGGAAATGTGCCAAAGCGAAGGCCAGCCTGAAGATGCTGGGGTCACGTGACATCATTCATGGTGGGGAACTTCTTGGCCAGGTGATCACTAGAACCTCTCGTCTCGGGGAGAACCATAGTAGTCACAGTTCCCCAGCCTCGCAGAGAAGCCCCGCCTCCCTGGTAGGAAGTCAGCATCCAGGGCGGGCAAGTGAGCAAGGTACTACTTGCAAGGTTGCATTCTGACCTCCCTCCATTCGTCCTTTCTGTGGTGCAACCTCCTATTCCATCCAGTCCAACCTGGAAGATTTGCCAGGTGGGGGTATGCCAAGCACCGAGCAGACACTTTGTGGGCAAAGGCTTGATGGAAGTGCAGAGGGGATTCATGAGGGAGCAAGGAGGGGGTCAGACCAGGGCAGACAGTGTGGGCGATGCTCTTTCCAATTCCGTCCCCACGGGCAGTGACCACAGTCAGTGGTTAAGTCAGGGGGCAGGAAGACTTTCAGGTGTCGTCATTCGAGTCCCTAGTTGGGGAAAGACAGGTTCTTAGAGCCATGGCACACATCAGCATTCAAGTGATATTAACACCAACACCAGCAACGGTAATAACAGCCGGGGCCAGTTACGTGAGCCCCTCGAGTGTGGGGGCTGAGGGCTCAGCACGGGTCATCCCACAGAGTCCTCCCCTCAGCTCGGCCAGACTGATTCTGTGTTGTATAAAGTAGGCGTTGCGGCAGGTAGGCTCTTGACCCGTGGCGTCTCCGGGCCTCCGTTCTACCGCCGGTACAGTGCGTACACTAACGGCACACACTCGGGTCGCTCTAAGGACTGAGTAAGCTAATTCACACCAACATGCTCAGAAGAGGGGCTGGCACAGAGCTAGTGCCCCTGGATGTGAGCTGTTGTCACTCCTGTTGTACAGATGGAGAAACTGAGGCCCGAAGTCACAGCCCAGGACATGCTGAAGCTGTGCTTTGAGGGGCTGGCTCCAGAGTTAACTGAGCAAACTGCCTCCTGAGAGGTGCCTTCCCCCTGGGCAGGGCTCTGCAGGCCCCAGCGGGGCAGGAGGCCGGGCAGAGCCACCAGGCTGCAGGCACTGATGGGAGAGGCTCAGTGTCATCCTCGGTGGCTGCTGTCTCCATGTGTCCTGGGGGTGGGGGCGTGTGGCGCCTCTGGGCTCTGGGATCATGGCTGGACTGAGTGGGTGTGCCCATTGTGCTCTTGAGGATGCTTCAGTCCTGCCCCAGAGCAGCCAGCCTGGGAAGATAGGTTCCCACTTGGACGGCCAGTGGTCAGTAGGCTGTCACCGTGGGTGGTGGCTGGGCTGGCAGGAGCCGCTTGGGAGAGTCAGGGGTGGGAGGAGAAGGCAGCAGAGGGCCAGGAGCTGAGGCATGGACAGCCTGTGAGGATTACTGCACTGGGGACCCCAGTGCTTTGCTGGCTCAGGGACAGGCAAGGGAGCTGGTCCCGGAAGGTCAACGATGAGGTCAGCATGGGCAGAGCCCCACTCTGAGCCCGCACCTCAGGCTGACTGCCCACCCCAGCTCATTGAGGATCCCCCATACACTCCCTGAGCAGACTCAGCCGCTGCCTCTTGTATTAGCGTCTTGACTGTATTTCTCCTTTTAAATATTAATCATTGTCTTAATGTGCTGGGGCAGGGGGCATGGGGCAGGGCAGCTAAGTCATAAATCGCTGGACCAGCTTCTGGTCAAGGGCTTGAGGGTGGAAGTGACCATCACATGCAAGTCTGAGGCCCTCTCCTGGCCAAAGCTGGTTCAGGATGCCCTTGGCACTGGGCCTCTGCCCTGCCCCACTCTGACACAGAGATCCCAGCACAGATGCTGGGGTGGGGTGGTCACCCTGTCACAGTCCTGATGCTGCCTGGCTGGTGTCCTCGAGCCCTGGGGTCTAGAAGGAGCTTCTGTTCCCTTCTTCTCCTCTCCTGGCATGACCGGTAAGGAGGACAGGAGGAGGAAGAGCATCTCCACATCTCCTGCCTGGGTGGGTCCTCAGTGTCTCGACACCTGTCTGATGGACTCGAATATTTCATTATGGGCCATCATCCAGCTCTGCCTTTGATTACAAATGTGCAGACATTGAGGATGGGGATGCTGCCTTGGCAAGTGGAGGGCAGGCTTTCGTGGGGCCTGGCTTCTGCAGGGAGGAGGGGGGTCACCCCCAGATGGATTCAGACGCCCACACCACCACTTACTGCAGTCTCCCCTGCACAGGTTCTGTGCGTGTCTCATTAGACCATCTCTAGGATGCTTTGAGGTGGGTACTGTTCTAATCCCATTTTAGGGATTAGAAAGTGTTGGCTAAACCCTGCCAAGGTCACTCGGTCTGGAGGGCGGGCGGGGAGCGCGTGTGCAGCCAGTGCTCGTGCCTCCCCACCAGGCGCCCCCCCCCCCGTCCCTCTCTGAGCTTCAGTGAAGTAGAGATGACACTGAAGGCCTGTCACGGTGCTGGTGCAGCCCTGCCGTGCGTGTCCCGGCATGTAGTAGGTACTCAATGTGTGGGAGCTGTTATTTGTTATTGCTGTTACACCCTCGGTGGGGTCCCTGCCTTTGCCTCTTTGCCTCTTTCCAGCCTTGAGGCCGCACTTGTATTTCTAGTCTCAGGGCAGCAGGTGGTGGATGTATCCTCAGGAAGTTTTAACTACCTCAGCCACAGACTTTGGTGCTAACCCGCCACGAGGGGGCGCCCTAGTGGCACCCAAGTGGATGCTGGGTCCCCGTTTCCCTGTACCCCTCCTGCAGTGGGTGCTGGGCCTGTCCCAACATTCATTCAAACGGACCATGAGCCCTGGAGCACCCTAAGGGGGCAAGAGGGGCCAAGGGGCGACTGCCCCTTTCAGGGCTCAGGATGCAGACCCTCTCTCCCCACTGGGCGCTTGTCCTTCTGCAAGGCCACCTGAGAGCTGAATTGTAAATTCCAGCCTGGTGAGGAAGGGGAGGGGGTGGGAAGGGAAGGGGAGGGGTGGGAAAGACCAAGATAAAATGAATAAATAAAAACCTATTGGCTCTAAATGCACAATGAGAATTAATAGGGCTGAGCTCTCAACCAAGGATTCTCGGGCAAGGGCAAAATTTCAATGAGACCTGCTGAGAAGGCGGGCGGCCCCTCACCCCTGACTCCCGGTGCCTGGCCGGCCCTCTCCAGCCTGCCGAAGCTGCAGGGCCAGGAAGGAGGGAAAGGCTTCACAGCCCCTCACAGAACCCCTTTGGGACGTGGGGGGCATCGCTGGGCACGGGGAGCAGCCCCCGCAGCACTCCAAAAGAGAGATTGTCAGCCAGCTGCTGGAGAACCATGAAAGCAAGAGGGAAAGCCGCTCCGTGCCTCTGGGGAGGGGCGGTGAGGAGAGAGGGCGGGCGGGGCGCACCGGCCAGGCAGGTGGTGTTGACAGTGATCCTGCAGCTAACTCCCCATGTGCCACCCGAAGCATAGTCCTCGGACTCACCTTGTTAGAAATGCAGACTCCCAGGCCCTGCCCCCAGACCTGCTGAGCCAGAAGCTGCATTTTAACAAGACATCCAGGGGATTCGGATGCTCGCAGGGTTCGAGCTCAGCAACACTGCCTTAAGCAGGCCTGTGGTTCCCACGGGATCTCTGCAGGGGAGGGGGGAGTCGCTGCTGAGAGAGAAAGGGAAAGAGCAGGAGGTGTGGTGGGGGGTCCCCGGAGTGAGGGGTGGAGCTGGAGCTCAGGGTCCTGAATGCTGGGGACCCGTGGAAGGTTCCAGAGAAAGGAAGGTGGTGTGGTGTCCCGACAGGAGCCACAGGCCTGGAATCTGAAGACGTGAGCTTGCATCCCAGCTTTGCTGCTTGTGGGCTGAGTGGTCTGGGGAGAGGCTCTCCATTCTCCGAGCCTCAGTTTTCCCATCTGTGACGGGGGATGATGGGAGTGGCAGCCTTGCCCCCCTCACCACCTCCCTAGGAGAAGGCAGTGCCTCCTCAGAACATCTGGAAGTGCTCGGACGGATCGAGGTCTCTTTAGTGTGGGGCTTTGATAGGGCTGTTTATCCAATCTTGATCATCTTGATTTTTCCACGGGGAAATGGGTGAACGTTAAATGTTTCATCTTAGAGGACACTTCAGTGCACAGAGGCGCCTGGGAAGAGAGGACGGTGAAGGCGCACCTTTGAGCCCACGTCTTCCTCAGAACTGGTTCTACCTTGTCTGTGCCTCGCTTTACCCAGATGCAGAGCACATGGCCCCATCCCTCCCCCGGGGGTTGGCTGGGCCGATTACTGCAGCTGGTGGGTGGTTCCTGGAGGCCTCAAGCCCCTCCACACCATGACCTTGAACATCACGTGCAGAATCAAGGTCACAGATGCCCTGCCTCCTGCTAGACTGTGATGTTGGAAAAATGTTTCCATCCAGCAGCACCCAGCTCACCAGCCCACTGGCTCAGGCCCCTTCCGCATGTATTCTGGCCCCAAACCTACAGAGGGGAGAGCAGGGGCTCCCTTCCCCAGCCCCTCTCATCTCCCCATCACACCCAACCCATCCCAGACCTCATGTCAGGCACGTCAGTGCAGAAGTGAGGTGACTCTTACAGATCTAAGCAGACAACAAGAGAAGCACAGCGGACGTTAAGTTTGGTGCACAACCAACAGTGAGGGGAGAAGACAGACCTAAAGCAATAGGAGCTTGAGAAGGGGGCCGAGGCTGCCTCCCCCCAGCCCTCTGGCTGCAGCTCACCACAAAGTTTCTGAACTTTCCACTGCCTCCTTCACTCAGAATTCCTTCTTTGCTTCCTTCGTTCCTGAGGCTTCCATGTTTACCTGAATAACCTTAAGTTATTTTTCAAAGTTCAGGTTGACCCCACCTCCTCCAGGAGGCTTTCCCTGACTCCCTAGCCCAGGTGG